AGCTACCAGGAGGCCTTGTGTGCGAAAAACTTGTCCTACGAATTGCATCATGCTGCTTTTGTACGCTCTGTTATTCCACAACGCTACCTGAAAAAGCTTCATACGCATATTTTGACTTTAAATAATATTATACCTCAGAGTAGGGTTCATCGGATGTCCATACAAAGTCCTCTTGAGCCAACTCCCCCTGCTATATTACCTTACAATTTTAATGAAAGGCGGATTGCAGCGAATTTGAGGCCTTCTTGCCGCTTCTTGACTGGATTAGGTAACTTAAGGCATAATAATTGATTGCTTTAACCTTGTTTTAAAATATATTTGCTACAATAAATAGCATACTCTGGTAAATATCTATCTAAGCTTAGGGCTTTTAAATCCTACACACATTAATATGATGGAATAACTATCGCTTGTTCATTTCCCTTATGCCTCTCTACATTCCACAATGTACTGTTCTAGTTTACCTCCCATTTATTTTTAGGTCGTTCATTAGTCGTAAATCAGTATCGAGCAGTTATATTTCCCGAAAGAGTAGTCCCCAGACCTAACGACATCTTGCAAAGCATGGATAGTCTTCGCTACAAGTGGACGATGGATTTCTTACCTTCACACCTTCCGATTCCCCATAATTCGCATTTTCCTCAATTGCCATCAGAGCTTATTGTCCGCAGGGGGTTCCTTTGTAATTCCTATGATGAACTGAAGAAAGGTACCTTTACTCGAATGTAAGAAAAAAAAGTCAAGGAGAATTAATTTTTCGTATTTAAATAATTAAGCCTTTTCTCACATTATACACTTGAGTAATCTACTAAAATTTATTTTTCCATATTGCTTTCTATCCAACTATATACAAAAGATTGCTTTGTTTTTACCTATTAACGCTTTTATCCTTTTGAAACGTTCGATTTTATTTTTCTTATCGTTACATTAAGGTCATTACACAATACTTTGACGGCAAAGCAGGAAGAGAATGTTTATAATGTCTCTCAACTTGGCCAACCGCATGTTGTCGACCGATTAGTTTATTCAAAAAGTAAAGGTACAATGGCCCTCAGACTTGTAAAGATTTGTAGGCGTTTTGGGTGCCCCTTCGTTCCTACTTCTCTATTAGCTGTTTTACGTCACTTTGAACAAGGTCACTGGCGTGTATTCCGCCTCGATACTTGCAATGAAAAAAATATAATGGCTTCGAAATTCCTTTTTCCTGGAGTGCTTGATCCGTGTGCTTCGCAATCCAGATACTACTGTACCCTCTGTGAATCTAGCTACAACCAACTCTATCTGCTTCATTCTCATGCACTTTCCACGTAAGTTTTGCTTTCTATAATGGCCTTTATCAAGCTTCATTAGTTTTTTAAATTAGGCCAAAGATTGATGTTATAAATCTTTTAGGATCAAGATATTTTTACTCGGACTTTTTAGTTCTTTTGCTAGGACTATTTTTTGGTT